TTTCTGCGTGATGATTTCCCAAACAGCCAAACATACAAACGTTCACATTTATAATATTAGTAAGATAATTAAGTCCTCGCGTAAAATTATAAAATTAAATCGAATTCAATTACAATTACAATTATGAACGGCTTTTAGTAGAAATTTTTTCATTGAAACGCTCATGACTTTTTTATGTCACTTTTGAAATAATCATATTCGCCTGCCTCCCTCTAAAAACAATATATCTGTACTGTAGTGTTTTCGGACGGTACTAGCTCTTACTGCCAATNGTCATGCAAATCCATTCAGTCGCGTATTAATTTAATAAAACTTTTTTCACAGGTGGCAACTCTTAAGAAAAGTAGCCTGTTTACCAATCTAGGTCATAAGCTATCTGTGTACAAATTTTCATGCAAATCCATTCAGTCGTTCCCGCATATTAAATAAATTAAACTTTTTTAACAGGTGGCAACTCTTAAAAAAAAGCCTATTAACCAATCTGACCCTTAAGCTATCTGCGTACAAAACTTCATGCAAATCCGTGCAGTCGTTTTCTGCGTGATGATTTCCCAAACAGCCAAACATACAAACGTTCACATTTATAATATTAGTAAGATAATCGGAGATTTTGACACAAAGATTGTCTATTTGCAAAGCTTGAATTGTGGTTTGGTGGAATCAACAGCAAAAGAAAAAAAAAGATACAAAAACAACAATGTAAACAGCGAAATCTTTCGACACTCTTATAAAATGCATTTCAATTCAATAAGTAGCATTTTAAAAAAGATATTGTTTAACACTTTTTCACGCCGCCTTTTGCCTTAATAGCATATTACATCTTTTTTCACTAGTTTCCCATTAAAATTGGTGAAAAGGATGAACGATTTCTTTTTAAGATGCTACGAATTCAAGTGTACTTAAATAAATAATATAAAATTATATAAATAATTAAAATAGGTAATTTATTTAATTTATTAATAGATTATTAAAAATGCCAGTAAGAGTGTTGAAGGATCTCGCTATTTACATTGTTGTTTTTGTATTTTTTTCTTTTGCTGTTGATTCTAAAAGACCACAATTCAAGCTTCGCAAATAAACAAACTTTGTATCAAAATTTTTGATTATTAATATATACATATATGTATATAAAAGTTTCAAGTGCAAATATTAAGCCGGGTTCAGGCGTACGAACTGATTCTGGGCTAGGTAGTACATATATGAATATGAATTATATGAAATTTTTGTTTCTTGTGTTCTTAACATTAATAAAAAGCACGATTATATCGTTGAAAAAAAAAACAAATAAAACTTTTGTATTTTTAATATTTTTATTGAGCTTTGTACCACGATTGTTTATTAGGAAAAATTGAAAAAGCAACAAAGTCTAAGCGGTAGAAGTTATAGCACTATTTCGGAGATCACCACATCTCCTCATCAGACTTCTTTTTNTTATTGCTGGTTGGGCTGACTGCATCAGCACGACCAGTCAGTATCCAACCGAATACTGTTTCTTGCGCTAAGAGAGTACTGAGAACGTTCTTCTTAATTCCACCTAATATTATTTGGGGATATATGTCTCCTCCAAGAACCAGATCGACTTGCTCATTTACGAAAAACCTTTTGTCTGCCAAAACAAGATCAGGAAAAACTTGTTGGGTGAGTGCGCTAACATCACAAGTAGGCAGATTCCCTGTCAGATTTGGTAGAACTAACACAAGAATAGAATAAGTGGGTCAATTGGTGACCGCAATTGAATCGAACACGCTTCTTTCACTTGCGCTGAATTATTAATGCCCGAGACCTGTGCTAACATCTTCTTTGTCGGCAAGTTGATTCTGCGTCTGAGCCTCTCCGTGATGAAGGAACACTCAGAGCCAGAATCAATTAATGCTCTGGCAGAGAAGTCTGTACCATTGAAATGAATATTTACTCGCGCAGTCCCGAGTAAAACCCCTTTGCTAGTATTAGCATGATGTGATTGAACGTTATTGACTGCCTTAGCTTTTCCCTTTGAAGCTTGATTACGCAATTGTGCTTGCCTAGATGTTGATGGCAAGTTGTCTACAGAAACTACTGTCTTTTCTTCATCAATCTTTAAGGGGAG